GTTTTGGGCCCCACTTTAGTTTGTAATAGATTTCCCAGTGCTTAACTGACCTTTGATTAAAAAGAGTTTGTCAGTGGACAGCAACGCTCGACTTTCTTAGTCTTGATAGTAAAAAAAAGCCTTGAAAATGTAAAAATTCAAAGTTAAAAAAAAGGGCAAATTTTCTTTAAATCCATGTTACGTTATGGGCCTTGAAGAGAGTTATTTGCCTTCAAAGAAACTAAAAATTTTAATTTTTTCAAAGCCAGATGTCAATAGAATAAAAAATATCTGAGGGGGTATGCAAACTTAAATGTAAATTCAAAGTAAAAAGGGGCAAATTCGTCCAAAGTTTGATACTTCCCTCCCCTGTCTACGATTGGGGTTTTTTGGGGTGAAAAATTTCAAAGTTCAAAGCATATGTAAAGGATTTTGAAAATATTTGAGCTATTAAAAAAAATTTTACAAAAATTTTTTAAAGTCAAAAAAAGGGGCAAATTCTGTCAAAAGCTTGATACATTATCTCCCCCGTCTACAGGTTGACTACAATAGCTTATTTATTTTATCGAAAGTCGAGCAAAAATTTTTGTGGCAGGTAGAGATCTCTATACAAAAAAGGGGAGCAAAAATAAAGAACAAATTAGAAAAATTTGTATAAATGCTGGTAACGCATGACTAATTCACTGAAAAAGGAGAAAAAACATATACAATTCAGAAAAAGGAATTTTAAATTTTACTCTGTTTTTCAGATTATTTTTCAAAAAATTTTAATAGTTATCATACCTTTTCTAGCAAGATATTTCAGTATAAGGGCCCAAAGATGTTTAGATAAGAAGTCTCGTATTTTGGAAATATAGAACCCAAAAAATTTCCCCATAATGCAGAAGTCACTGACAGAGGGCCGATCCAACATCACTGTAAAATTTGATTTTTATAAATTTAGTCAAAATCACATGTTTATTTAAAGTTGCTAATGCATAGAAAAATTTTTAATTTTCTCTCAATCACCATCATTATTGTAATGTTAACCTATAGCTCTTCAGCGCTTCTTATGTAAAATTCTTCTAAATATAATTTCCAATTACCGTAAATTATACCATACCCAGATAGGGTTTTAAATTTTCAGTAAGGAGTAAGTGTTTCTGGGCGGATATAGGTTAAAACAGATCACATTGGTGCTTTGACGATTTCTGGGTTTGCGTAAATTATACCATAATCACGTGACCTTTCTTATAAACCTCACTCACTTCGTCTCGTGAGGTTAAGGCATAAAAAAGGTCACGTGTTTAGGGAAAATTTTACGCAAACCCAGAAATCCAAGCAGCAATGGTTTCATTACATACATATTATTTAAAAAAAAATCATGTTTTTTAATACTTTTTAAATTTGACTTATCAGAAGTATTAAAAATGAGCTATTATTTCTGCTTCCTCAGCCAAGATAGTTTGTTAGAATCATATTTTGTATGTAGTTTTATGCTAATGAATATGGGTCCGCTGTAACCTCTCTCTCATTGGGTTGATTATCAATTGGGGCTTTCCCAAACATCATCAACATATTGGAGCCCTCACAACCCAACAATACTATCCCTGAAGTTTGGAATAAAACTAGATATTATCAAAAGAAATCTTTTCAAGTTTTAAACATGTTAAGATGACATTTAAAACACTATAGCTTTACAAAAAAAGATTGCATAATATTCTAACATTTTTTTAGTTGTGCTTGCCCAAAATTTAAGAAAGATTCCATACAATGTCACATACTTTTTGTATGAAAAAATTTTCATTTTCTAATGGAAATTATTTTTTAATTTTTCTATTTTTAATCTTGTTTTTACCCCCCAGAAAACATCCTCTGGTAAAATCCGCCCTAGTGAAAGGGCCTCATCATACCCAGCTACGAAAATTCCCTGTATAAAATTTTTGTCTCTTCTCTTTTCAGTCATCAGTGGCATTTCATCTCCCTCATCGTCATAATTTTCACCTACAGTTTCCATATCTACATCACCATCTATCTCTTTTTTACGCAGCAGCCATTGCCTCTATAAGGGTCATTGAAATAGTAAAAAGTTGATCTACATAAATTTTTAACATACCCTGTGCCCTTTTAAGATTGCCGTAAAAATGGTATTGCATGGCCGTGGCATATATTCTGAAGCACCTCATTGGGTTATAACAACATGTAAAGACGGCTTAAAGTTAGCATTACATAAGCCACTTCAACGAAAATTGATTTTTTTTCTTTTAAACAGCTTTTTTATTTTGGGTATGTGAATCAAATATAATTTTTATTTTTGTGTAGGTTCAATACTAAATTTATTGAACTCTAATCAAATAATATCATGTTCGCCAGGGGCTGTAGCATAATTTATTTTATTCAAATTGTTCAGTATTGAACTTACACTCATTCAAATTTTCTATGACATTTACATTTTTCTCTAAGCTGGGGATGATGATTTGGAAACAATGTCAGAATTTCACACGTAAACCTATTCATATCAACTATAATAAAGGGAAAGTTGCAGTAACAAACCAAAGGGAAACACACGCCTAATTGAATGATAATAATAATAGATGGATAGTGACTGAGATTTTTTGATAACTTTTGATTAGTAAAGATTTTAGTTATAGACAATACCTGGTGTACAACTTTTCTTTGACAGCAGCAATAAAGGGTAAACCAGATGTGACGGCTCTGATTCTATTCCCCATTTTAAACCAGTTCTCTCTGGCAGGATAACAAGTTGGTCTACAGTGTAGTAGTTCAAGTGAAGATCGTTCTTATCGTTTCTCCTTAAGATCCAGCCCATTCATTCAAACAACATTCCATAAAACTTTGCTAGTTCAGAATTATATCCTTCAAGTCCTCCCTCTCAGACGTCTTTCCCTAAAGTAAAAAAATATATTAGTTACCTCAACAAACTTAAAAAACAATTGTAATGGGGGTCAAGGTTGCTACGGAAGTCAAATGGTTGCTAAAGAGGTTACTGGTTGCTATGGAAAGTCAATGGTTGCTATAGTCCTTTGAGGTCACTGGTGGCTATGGAAAAGTCAATGGTTGCTATGGGGAAGTCAATTGATAGCTTGGAAAGCCACTGCTTGCTATGGTAGCAAATCAATGGTGAACAATTTTGCGAATATAATGAATACAGCTGTGAAAAGAAGCCTGCAAGCCTCAAGCTTCAGATCACTTTTTAACAACATTTGTTATGGTTTGATTTCTCAACATACTTTGAAATATTTTATACAAAGAAACTCACCAGCTAAGTTTCTGAAGATATGTTGCACTTATTCAAGTGCCAACTTGTGCCTTAGATAATTTCCAAAGGGAAGCACTAGTAATCTGTTTTCCGCGTAGTAAGCTCTAAAGCCATCATTTGACCTTTGCAATGCAAGGTTAATTTAGATTCAATTAGCAAGTGCAAAATAAAATGTTTTTGACTGGATTTTCAGCAGCTGTTAAAAGATAAGCACTAGACAGTGCACTAAAAATATTTAGTTTATAAAGGTTTATTCGATAAGAATTAAACAGGCCTCATATTAAAATAATTCAGTAATTATAGTTTAGACTTACCTTCTAGCTGAGGTACACTATCACCTTTGGCCCAAACTTAGTAATGGCACAAACTGGACGATCATGTTTAAGGATAACACAGGAATCTAGCTGTCCATTCTTTAAACAGCAAGCACAATCCAGATGAACAAGTTTCATTACACATTGCAAGGTCTGGTTATAACTGTCAAATATCTGTGAAAATGATACAAATTGTTATGTGCAATGTTTTAAATTTACAAAAGGAAATGGACACGGGCTATCTGTTACATATAGATTTGAAGTTTCACTATATTAAATAGTAAGGATCTATTTATATTTCTTGTTTACACAAATAGGTAAAACATGGCTATACATTGTACAAATTTGCCAAAAAACTCTGAGTATTTTTCCGCTTTTAAAATTTTTTTACTTTTGAAAGTAAAATTCAAAAAAAAAGAATTTTGCAAATTTTCCTTTTTCGGGAAATATATTTTTAATTTTAGCCCCCGTACATTTCTGGGGGACTTAATCAATTTACCAGTACAGTTGTTTCACTTTCCCGGGAACGATTATTTTTTCAAGACAGAGGTCAGTGTAATGATCCCCTACAACCAAAATTACCATTTCCAACCCGGGCCCGGGTTGAAACAGAAAAAACATTCATCTGTACTTATAAAACGGGGGGCCCCTGAATGGAGTATCTTAAAATCTATTCAAAAGTGAAAAAAGTTATTCTCAAATATGCAAAAATCCAAAGCTTTCATATATCAAAACCCAAATTAAAAAAATTTTTCTATTGTTTCTGTATTGTTCCATGGGAAATCTGTCCACACTATTTACCCCCCTGCCTTCCCGCCACCCAAAAAGGGGTTTTCTCTGTAGATCCTGACATTGGGAGAACGTAAGTTCCTTTAACTGACTCTTCCTTCTTTCTCCGGAACTTTAGCTTTTTAATGTCCATCACAGCCTATGCAATAAAAGCATTTTCCAATAAAAAATTAAAATAATCATCAAGAACATATAATGGAAAGTAAAGAACAATTTAAAAAAAGGCCCCCAATGCGCTCACCTGAGTTGAATGCAATTTTATATACAAAAGTTTAAGTTACCTGTCTTAAATTCAATTTGACCCAGGGCTTAAATTTGAACAATCTTTTTAGTAGCCCATAGATATTTATACCCAAATTATCTAACTCTAAGCCTTGTACCAAAAACAAAAAGAATTTTTTAATTTTTTTAAAAAAACAAAAGGAAAATCTTTACCCTGGGGCAGGGCCAATTTTGACCCCAAAGGCCTAATTTTAACAACTTTGGGAGAGAAACCTATAGTTTATATAAAAGTACCAAAAATTAAGCTCTAGCCCTTTTATCTTTTAAACAAAAAGATTATAGTTTTTTTTTATACATTAGGAACCTATGACCCCCGGGGCTGGGCCAAATTTTTACCCCCAGGGCTATAATTTTTAAAAAACTTTTTGGAAAGGACCTAAGATAATATTAATACCAATTATCTAAGCTCTAAGCCTTAACCAAACAAAAAGAATTTTGAATTTTTTTAAAAAAATTTCTATAAGAAAAACTTTAACCCTGGGGCGGGGCCCAAATTTTTACCCCCCGGGGTATAATTTTAAAACTTTGGGAGAGGACCTAAAAATAAATTTTATACCTAAAATCAAAGCTCTAACCTTGTACCTTCAAACAAAAGAATTTTTATGTTTTTTGTATTACATGTAAGGAAAAAACCCATGACCCCCTGGGGGGAGCAATATTGACCCCCTGGATTTTTTTTGAACAAATTTGGAGAGGACCATAGGTGATTTACATACCAAATATTTAGCTCTAAGCATTGTACCTTCAGCAATAAGTTTTTAAGTTTTATTATATACATATGAGGAAAACCTATGACCCCCGGGGCGGGGCCAATTTTGACCCCTGGGCTTTAATTTAAACAGCTTTGGTAAACGACCTAAAGATAATACAAGATATGTTTGTAAAACATGTATGCCCCCTATCAGCAGCCAATTAGTCATGTGATAAGGTTATTATGCATGACTTCTGACCCAGTGATCAAACAATTAATAAGGGTTATCTAAGTATCTACTGGTCATAGACCTAACCTTTGACCCCTTGACCAAAACTCAATAGGGGTCATCTTATGGTCACGACCAATCCATCATACAAAGTTCCCTAGGCCTAAGCGTTTTTAGGTTAATTGATCAGAACCGTTTTTACCATCAGGCCAATGTGACTTGACCTTGACCCTTTGACCCCAAAAATCAAATTAGGTAATCTGCCTGGTCATGGACCATCAGCATAACCAAGTTTGAAGTTCCTAGGCCTAAGGGTTCTTTAGTTATTGATCGGAACGCGTTTAAAACATACAAGGTCAATATGTGACCTTGACCCAAAATCAAAATAGGGGTAAATCTGGCTGGTTATGACAAATCACCATACAAAGTTGAAGTTCCTTAGGCCTAGAGCGTTCTTAAGTTATTGATCAGAAAACCGTTTTAACTTACAAAGGTCAATGTGACCCTTGACCTTTTTGGGGAACCGGCCTTGACGCCAAAACTCATTAGGGGTCCAATCTGCTGTCAACGACCAATCATTATAAAAAGTTTGAAAGTTCTAGGCTAAGCGTTTTTAAGTTTAATTGATCGAAACCGTTTTTACCTACAAGGTCAATGTGACCTTGACCTTTGACCCCTTGACGCCCAAAATCAATAGGTCAATCTGCTGGTCATGACCAATCACCATACCAAAGGTTTGAAGTTCCTAGGCTAAAGGGTTCTTAAGTATTGATTGGAAAGCATTTTTACCTACAAAGTCAATGTGGACCTTGCCTTTGACCGCCTTAACCCCAATAATCAACTAGGGGTGCATCTGCTGGTCATGGAGCCATCACCATATCAAGTTTGAGTTCCTAGGCCTAAGGGTTCTTTTAGCTTATTGATCGGAAACCCGTTTTTACTAAGAGGTCAATGTGACCTTCGACCTTTGACACCCTTGACCCCAAAATCATAGGTCATCTACTGATCATGACAAATCACACATATAAGTTTGAAGTCCCTAGTGCCCTAAAGGGTTCTTTCGTTATGATCGGACATCGTTTTTACCTACAAGGTCATTGTGACGCTTGACCTTTGACCCCTTAACGGCCCAAATCAATAGGGGTCATCTGCTGGTCATAACCAATCACATAACCAAGTTTGAAGTCCTAGGCTAAGGGTTCTTTTCTATTGATCAGAAACGTTTTTACCAAGAGGTCAATGTGACCGTTGACATTTGACTCCCTTGACACCCAAAATCAAATAGGGTTCATCTACTGATAATGACCAATCACCATATTCCAAGTTTAAAGTTCCTAGGCTTAAAGTTTTTAGTTATTGATCGGAAACACGTTTTGCTGTTACAAGGTTCAATGTGACCTTGACCTTTGACGCCTTGACCCAAAATCAATAGGGTCATCTACTGATCATGACCAATCACCATACCAAGTTTGAAGTTCCTAGGCCTTAATGTTCTTTAGTTTATTGATCGGAAACCGTTTTTTGCCTTACAAAGGTCCAATGTGACATTTGACCTTTGACCCCTTGACCCCAAAATCAATAGGGGTCCATCTACTGGTCATGACCAATGCAACCATACCAGTTTGAGGTTCCTAGGGCCTAAGGGTTTTCTTTAGTTATCACTCGGAAACCATTTGGTCTACGGACCGACGGAACGACGGACCGACAAGTGCAAAAGCAATATACCCCATTTTTCTTCGAAATGGGGGGCATTAATAATATACCAAATATCTTAAGCTTAAGCTTGTACTATTATTATACATATAAGGAAAACCTATGACCCCCTGGGGCTGGGCCAATTTTGACCCCAGGGCTACAATTTGAACAACTTTGGTAGAGAACCTATAGATAATATTTATATACAAATTATCTAAGCTCTAAGCATTGTAACCTTCAAAAAACGAAGAATTTTTAAGTTTTTAATATATACATATAAGGAAAACCTACGACCCCTGAGGCGGGGCCAATTTTGACCCCAGGGCTTAATTTGAACAACTTTGGTAAGAGGACCTAAAGAAAATATTATTTACCAAATATCTAAGCTCTAAGCCTTGTATCCTTCAAAAACAAGAAGAAGATTTTTTAAGTTTTTACTATAAACAGAAAAGGAAAACCCTATGACCCCCTGGGGCAAGGGCCAATTTTTGACCCCAGGCTATAATTTGAACAACTTTGGTAGAGGACCTATAGATAATATTATACAATTATCTAAGCTCTAAGCCTTATACCTTAAAAAAAAAGAATTTTTTAGTTTTTACTATATACATATTAGGAAAAAACTCAAGACCCCTCGGGTGGGGCAAATATTGACCCAAGGGCTATTATTTGAACAACTTTGGTAGAGGACCTATAGCTGATATTACATACCAAATATCTAAGCTCTAAGCCTTGTACCTTCAGACAAGAAATTTTTTTAAGTTTTTATTACATACATATATGGAAAACCTATGACCCCCGGGGCGGGGCCAATTTTAAAACCTATGACCCCCGGGGCGGGGCCAATTTTGACCCCAGCACTATCATTTGAACAACTTTGGTAGAGGACCTATAGATAATAATATATACCAAATATCTAAGCTCTAAGACTTGTACCTTCAAACAAGAAGAAATTTTTAAGTTTTTTAAATATATACATATAAGGAAAAAACCTATGACCCATGGGGCGGTCAGAATGAGGCTAAAAAGTTTTGGTACACAGTTTACAACAGAAAATGTAGGTACAAGTGTATATATCCTCTATATATATATGCAATAAAAATATTTTTCATTCTGATCTCCTTAAGAGGTGAAATGCTAGGTATGCTTTAGGATTTGATATCTATTACAGAATTTGAAGTATAAATCTCTGTGTACTTCAATAAGGATATACACATTTTTATGCATGAATATAATAACAAGAGGGCCATGATGGCCCTGAGGTCGCTCACCTGTATATAGGCCCCCAAACCCCCCAACGTTGCAGGGCCAATTTAACCCAAGGACTTTTATTTGCACAAACTTGGTAGACACCCATATGAAGATGTTTCATGCTAAACATCTAAGCTCTTGCTCATTGGGCTTTTTAAAAGAAGATTTTTTTTAAAGTTTTTACTATACACATATAGTTAAAAACAATGACACCCCTGGGGCCGGGCCAGTTTTTGACCCCAGGGCTTCTTATTTTAAAAAAAACTTTGTAGCCACTTTACTAGAAGATGTTTCATGCTTAATATCTAAACTCTAAGCTATTTGTTTTTTTTTTTCAAAGAAGCTTTTTTTAAGTTTTGCTATACACATATAAAGGAAAATCAATATCCCCGGGGCAGGGCCAATTTTGACCCAGGCTTTTAATTTGAACAAATTTTGGTAGACACCTATTAGAAACATGTTTGATGCTAAATATCTTTAGCCATAGCTCTTTAGTTCTTTAAAAAAGAAGATTTTTTAAGTTTTTACTATATGCATATAGGGAAAATCAATGACCCCCCGGGGGGGGGCCAATTTTGACCCCAGGGCTTTTATTTGAACAAACTTGGTAGACACTTATTAGAACATGTTTCATGCTAAATATCTTAGCTCTAACTCTTTTGGTTCTTTAAAAGAAGCTTTTTTTAGTTTTTACTATATGCATATAGGGAAAATCAATGAACCCCCGGGGCCGGGCCAATTTTGACCCCAGGGCTTTTATTTGAACAAACTTGGTAGACACCTATTAGAACATGTTTCATGCTCAATATCTTAGCCATAGCTCTTTGAGTTCTTTAAAAGAAAATTTTTTAAGTTTTTACTATATGCATATAGGGAAAATCAATGACCCCCCGGGGCGGGGCCAATTTTGACCCCAGGGCTTTTATTTGAACAAACTTGGTAGACACTCACTAGAAGATGTTTCATGCGCAAATATCTAAGCTGTAGCTCTTATGGTTTTTTTAAAGAAGATATTTTAAAGTTTTTTCTTTCGGTTGCTATGGCAACCAAGAGTTCTGCAATGGAATTAAATTCTTTGAACAAATTTTTTTTTTTTAAAGGTGACCACCAAAGGAACATTCCTGTGAAGTTTGGATGAAATTGGCTTAGTGGTTTATGAGAGATGTCATTTGAAGTAAAAGTTAACGGACGGACCGACGCCGGACGGACGCCGGACGAAAAGCGATCACAAAAGCTCACCGTGTCACTTTGTGACAGGTGAGAAGCTCACCGTGTCACTTTGTGACAGGTGAGCTAACAAGAGCTGTCCGTAAGACAGCGCGCTCGACTTTTTTATTGCTTGCCAATAAAAAAAGTTTTTTTTGCAGTAAAAGGCAATACAAGATCTCTGTATTTTTAAAGTGAACTAGTTGTTTGATACCCTTGAAAATTACAGCAATGTTTATATGACATAATTTATGGTAAAGTGAACAAGTGGATAGGAATGAATTTTTTTTAGATTTTTTTAAGTTTTTTTAGTGCTTGCCTATAATACAAAACATTGACAGTTAAGGGCCATAATTCAAATAAAATCTTTGACAGAATTACCTTCTCCTGGACATGTTTGGAATCATGATTGTAAACAAGTATTCCAACTTTCAAATTAATATCTCAAACAGTTCAGTCAAAAAGTGGACTGGTACTAAAAACTTAACCAAGATTCTAAGTCGATAAAAGGCCTTAATTTTTAAAACAAATCCTTGACAGAGTTACCTTCTCTTGCGTACAGATGGGGGTAATGATGTGAAAATAGCATTAAAAGTTTCAAAGCAATATCTCAAAGGGTTAAGGCAATAAGTGGATTTTACCCATATTCAATGTATTTTCTAAGTCAAAAAGGGGCATAATTCTGTCAAAAACCTTGACAGAGTTATGTCCTCTTGTCTGTTGATGAAGGTCGTGATGGTAAACAAGTATGGTCAGTTTCAAAGCAATACCTCCAATGGTTTTGAAATAAAGTGAGGTGGTACAAAAAACTTAACCAAGCTCAATACACTTTCTAAGTAAAAAAAGGGCCATAATTCTGTCAAAAACCTTGACAGAGTTATGTACTCTTGTCTGTAGATGGAGGTTATGATGGTGAACAAGTATGGTAAGTTTCAAAGCCATACTTGTAATACTTCTGAAATAAAGTGGGGTGGTACGAAAAACTTAACCAAGGTGTGACCCCAACGCCGACGCCGACGCCGGGGCGAGTAGGATAGCTCCCCTTTTCATAGAAAAGTCGAGCTAAAAATGTAACCATACCAGTAAAGTTTCATCCATCTTATGAGCATCAGCATCTTTCTTCCAAGCATTTTTACCCACTGTAAATATTCCATTAGCATTAATAGCTTCAGCCTGCATGAGGGAGGTAACCTCCACTGAACCGTGAGCTTTCTTGATTTCTTTAAGCCATTGTATCTGTCTATTTGTGTCTCTCTGTATAATTAAGACAAGTAATTTACATTTTATTCAACTTATATATAAAATGATACACTATACTCAACATCACTAATTCCGTGTCATCACTTATTTCACGGCAATGGCATATTTTCATGTGACCAGTGTTAAAAAATTGGTCAGAATTGACATATTTTATTCATACCCCTATGCAACACAAAGTTTTGTGCAAAATATTTTAAATCTCTAGATTTTTTTACTTAAAACAAAACAACATTTTTCAAATTTCTACAAAAAGCAATAATAGTCCATTAAATTTGTGCATATGTCTGAAACAATCATCAATGTTCTTGATTGTTGAAGAAATAAATTTTGAGTTACAAAGTAAGGATAATTTTAATATTTAAAATCAAGCAAAATAACATGTAAAAATTTTAAAGGAAACTTGAAGAACTGAAATGTAACACCATTACCGCGATTTAAATGACATACTGTTTTCAAAATGGCTGACATATGGTCTAAGTTTGGTCCATTAAAATTGACTGACTGAATATATTGTTTGTTTCCTTGTGCCATACAGCAGAAAATACCTATATGTTAAAGCTTATGACAATTTTTGTACCACAAGTTTCATTTTTTTTTTTTTTTAATGGTTTCAAAGCGCTAAGTACCGTGAATTTAAAGGAGAACAGTATATATGTATATGCAAATGAAATATTCGAAAGCAAATCTCAAATACCACGATCAAGGGGATTGGTGTGGCCTAGTGGTTAATGGATTTGCATCTAAACCCTAGGTCTTTGGGTTTTAGGCATAGAAGGATTCATAACCATGTTTCTCTATTTGACACAAGTACTGGATAATTCCAACTCTCAACATTCTGAATTTCTTAAATTAACTTATCCAGTTTCCATTTTTCGAACTGTTCATTACAAAATTTAGAGAAAAAAATCAACAAATTATGACATACTAGTTTATCTGGAAGCTTAGGATTTGCCTCAAGTTCTTTCCAAACAACAGCACAAAGATTCAAGAGTTCCTTGTATCCAGAACTCTCATCCAGATCAAATATAAGCGGGGCATATCCTGTCACAGCTGAGTGGAGACACTGAACACGAGCAATGTTGATTGGTTCATCACCAGCTGACATAAATGCCAGGTCAACAAATACCTTCAGCTCTTTTAATCCAGCTATAATTATGAAAAAAAATAATTAAATCACAGAATGTCATAGATACAAAAATCATTATGTGCAAATTTTTAAACACATATACATATATACGAGGGTTGTCATAAAAGTCCCTGACCAATCTTATAGACGGTTGGTTTTTACCGCCAATATATAATAATTCACACATTTAACCCATAAATTTATTATTTTACATTACATTCACTCATTTACAAATATGTACTCAAGTTACTTGAAAATTCTAAATATTAATGACATAGGCCTGAGTTCCCGGCGCACATCAAACAATCTGCGTTTTGTTATAAATAGGTTTTTAATAAATAACGTGTATTCCAAATATCTGATTGTGTTTGCGCTATAATGTAAACTTCCTCTGCTAATATGATAACGTCATCCCAGGAAATTCAGTTTAATAACTTAAGAAACAAATGAGAAAAAGACAAATGAAAACATCAAAGTTAAAATGATGTGGTCCAAAGAACATGCCGCGCTGCGAACAGTTATCCGATTCTATGAGTACTATAAGTATGACAATTATTAAGACTTTAAAATTAATACACTAAATAGAACAGTTTAGCAACATACTCCGACATGACAAATGACATGAATGATAGCAGAATTCTGCATTACAAAATGTAAAAATATGAAAACAACAAACAGGAAGACCAATCTCCATCGCCTATTTCCAACAGCTAGAGCAGGTTTAACAAGATCGGAAGTACGATACTAGAGAGAAATTAATGTTCAGTCACCCAAACATTCAACAAAGACTAACAAGCACATGGATTAAGTTTGTTATTGACAATTAACGATAAACCAACAGTTTATCTGTTGAACGCCACAGAGAGTACTTTTTAAAAGGCCCAAAATGCAGGTTTAACATGGTCTTTGACGTTGGACGTACACCACGATTTCACACAGTTGCCATGGTATTTATGTCATCATTTTGATGTTTGTTGATATTTTTCTGTCTTAATTTGTGAAAATGTTTCAATTGTATGAGTTTATAACATATTAAAATATCTTATTCATATCTCTTCTGTTAAACTTTTAAACACTCTTGTCACTGGGTATTGGGACAACCCACATGAAACATATACATTGTAGTCAAAACATATCTGAAATTTACTTCCTTTGTTCATTTGACAATTTTAACTGTTTTTGTTGACTAAATAAATTGCAATATAAACAATCTTACCTTTCTTCATTGATTCTTTCAACCACTGAACTAAAGGTCTGCATTGAACAAACATGTTCAGGCATTTCTCCCTCTGTGGTGTAAGGTCCTTGAGGAAATCACAGGCATTCATCACACTCTCATCAAATGATCTCATCTCCAGATCATTTTCACCATGCTGTGTATTACAAAGTTTTTTTTTGTTAGTACACAATAAACCCTACATTGGTAGTATTGGGAGAGAAGCATGAGACATATGTTACTAGTATGTAGTGTATCTGATCTAGCTCTGTACTGTTGCCTGCACAATTCTATAGGGTTAACGCACGTTTTTCCGTGTTATAACGTCTGCAGAGTCCCGAGGAACAGTTGGTGCCCGAGCCCGGTAGGGCGAGGGCTCCAACAGTTCCGAGGGACTCTGCAGACTTTATAACACGAAATAAACGTGCGTTGACGCTATTATAGCATAAAATTTTCAAACAGATTCGTGATGTATAGTTTATACAAAACACAATTACATTAAATTCTTGTGCTTGGACGGTATTTATCCAATTCTATGTTTTACGTATGCGTTTCATTTTTCCGGGGCCAACAACTTGGAAAATTCTCGGAACCGAACGAAATTTTGAATTTTAATTGATTTAACAAAGCTTGGCCTTTGGAGAATTATTATCTCAAGAAAAAAAATGTTACATTACTCTACCCTCTACCCAAGACAAAACATGACCCTCAGATATTCTTAGAATGATTTCAGATTGACGGTAGAAAAAAGGTCAGTGACATCAGAATCGGTTTTTTTTTCAAGCAACAAGTTTATAAAAAAATCAGGCACTAAGCATTATTCTCTCAAAGAAATATAAAGAGCATTTATCAACACTAACATAAATAAAAAACATTTTCTCATATTAAGTTTGTGTTATCTAGTTTTGTAAGTTAATCGGAGTGTTAAACTGAATGATAGTTAGATTCTACTGTATTTGTTTACATTGACAACCGTCCGTTTCTTAGAAAGGGCGACAACCAAGATTAGCACCGATGTCTATACGCCGTTTTTCAGGCATAGTTACTGGAATATGCAACTGAGGCCCTCGAATCAATAAATTTCAATTTAACAAGAGCGCATGGCTCTTCGGCAAACAGGCCAAATCGTCATTTTTTGTTTGTTTGTTTACTGGGCCCTGTATGTATTGCGCATAGGTGAAACCAGGCTATAACAAGAGCGCGTGACTATGTTAACACATGGTTTTGGTCCCGTTATAACATGGGCAAAAGAGGGAAAAATAGCCGATTTTATGCTACATGTATAATATTATTAAAGTACCGGTTCTAAGTAAATAATAGAATTTACCTACTGTTTACTAGGGGTTTTGTCACAAAAACATGTCTCTCCTGTGTGTACAAAGAGGCATATATTCTCGCCAGCAGTTTGACCTGTGAAAGCCAGACAAGATTTTTCCATTTTTACCTCTGCAGCAAAGCCTTGTGCATCGAAGCAGAATGTTCCTGGGATATTAACCTTGGTACTGATCACATCTGTATATGTTTTGTCAAAATACCCCCTGTGAAAGCCATACCAGAATTTTCTATTTTTTGCTCTGGTGACCATTTACTGCAGGAAAGCCTTATGCAAATGATATGCACAACTTGGGTTGGTAGTGATCACTCCTGTGAAGTTCAGTCAAAATCTTGTGAACTGTTTGACTTGTGAAAGCCTGACAAACTTAATGTGAACACACAAATGGATAGATGGGGAAGGCAAAACAATATGTCTTTCAAACATTTTGGGTGGCATATTAAATCATGTAATAAGCACAATTACAACAGTCGGTATTACCTGCAATGTACAATAAGAATAGGAACTGAAGTTGTACAAAAAAAACCCAAATACTCACATTTGCAATAATTCTAATTTCTTTAAAATCTCCCTTTAGGTTGTAGTCATTAGCAAATTTCAGAATGGTTTTTGCTCCTTTCACACAATCTCCTAGATGTCGGTACTTCTTTAACTGGTCAACCCGCTTATGTATACATTTGACACTTAGTCCAAATGTTTTCAATTCAACTATCATATTGTCATAATCCTTTTGGTATCTGTTGCCAAGAATTTTCTCTATATCTCTGAACTTTATTTCACCACTCTGTAGCTTGTTAGAAACTGTATCCCACCTATCAAAATAATAGCAGTTATTTTCAATAATATGACAAACATAGTTTTCTAAAACCACTTTATGTTTATTTATTTTTCAAATTAAGACTGGGGAGAGGGGGAGGCCTTGATCCTGGTGACCTTTATCTTTGACCTCTATAATGCTCTGGCTGCAAGAATTTATTCCATGTTCAGGTTCAAGTTTTTTTACTAACAGACACAAAACAAGAGGGCCATGTTGGCCCTGAAATTGCTCACCTGTATATAGGCCCTTGGGGCTAATTTAAACCCAGGGGCTTTTTTTAACCAACTTGGTAGACACCCATTAGAAGATGTTTCATGATAAACATCTAAGTTATAGCTCTTTGGGGTGTTTTAATGAAGACTTTTAAAGTTTTTAGTATAGACATATATAAGGAGAATCAGTACCCCGGGGCGGGGCCAATTTAAACCTGGGGCTTTAATTTGAACAAATTTGGTAGAAACTCACTAGAAGATGTTTCATGCTTAATATCTAAGCTCTAACTCTGGGTTTTTTTAAAAGAATTTTTTTTTAAGTTTTTACTTTATACATAGAAGGAAAATCAATGACCCCCTGGGTGGGGCTAATTTTGACCCCAGGGCTTTTATTTGAACAAACATGATAGACACTCACTAGAAGATGTTTCATGCCAAATATTTAAGCTCTAGCTCTTTCGGTTTTTTATAAGAAGTTTTTTAAAGTTTTTACTATATACATATAAGGAAAATCAATGACCCCCGGGAGGGGCCAATTTTGGTCCCAGGCCTTTTTTTGAACAAACTTGGTAGACACTCATCAGACAATGTTTAATGCCAAAAATTTAAGCCTTAGCTCTTTCGGTTTTTTTAAAAGAAGATGTTTTAAGTTTTTAATATATATAAGGAAAAGCAATGGGGCTGGGCCAATTTTGACCCCAGGGCTTTTGTTTGAACAAACCTGACAGACACACATTAGAAGATGTTTCATGCCAAATATCTAAGCTCTACCACCTCGGGTTTTTTAAAAGAAGATATTTTAAGTTTTTTCTTTCGGTTACCATGGCAACCAGAGTTCTGCATGGAATTAAATTCTTTAAAAAAATTTTAAAGGTGACCACCAAAGGACCATTCCTGTGAAGTTTGGATGAAATTGGCTTAGCGGTTTATGAGGAGATGTCATTTAAAGTAAAAAATTACGGACGGCGGACATACGATGGATGGACGCCGGACGAAAAGTGATGACAAAGCTCACCATGTCACTTTGTGACAGGTGGGCTAAAAAAAAATGTGGCAATCTTTAAATTCTGCTGCAGAGGCCTAAATACATGGTATGAAGCACATCCATAAAAACATTGCAAAGAGCACAATTTATTATTTTTTATGATATACTCTGCACGTCTAAATAAAGTCCCTATATTTTTTAAAGGTGGTCTAATGGACGGCTGCACTCATCTTAATCTGAACTTGGCACACTTTGACTGTTTATGTGACTATTTAGAATACATACCTATTTTTGACAGTTGTCCAAACACAAGGCACTATTTCATTTAACTCTGGTGAGTTGTCGTCCATACTCTGACATTCATCAATCCAAAACCTCATAAAAGTGCTGCTTTCACTGCATGCCTGTAGTTGTGGCAGTATGTCAATCACAGTCTGAGAAACTTTAAATGCACAGAGAGCAGGCTGAAATGTTTCCAAATCTTCAACTTTACTCACATCTGCTGCTATACAAAACTCATTCACTTTGTGAACTTTCAGGTTTTCCTGCTTTTTCAGCGTGGCATCGACTGAACTCCTATCCACTATAAATACAATGCAACAGTACAGTTTAACAACAAAAGATATTAAAGTTGTAATATGCAGTTATCATTGTAGTGATTAAAGGAAATAGATCCATCAGTTTTGACCTTTATTGGTGATTGGATATTTTAGACTATATTTTAGAAAGGATAAACCATAAACCTGATTTATGTGATATTTTCTTTTTTATTATTTTGAAACAATTATGCTCAGAACATACGAAAATAGCTTTAACACAAGTCAAAAGTAATCAATGAAAATAAAATTAAATTTAAGACAAGCTCAATATAACCAAGACAGCTATTCAGAATTTTAATCTAATCAACTTCACAAAAGGGTGGAGAATATATTTTTACCATTTCTGATATACTGACAAAGTGAAGTCAGAGATGTCATCAGCCCAGACTGTCTACTAAATGCCTCCATTTCCATTTTCCTGACCTCTATTGCCTTCTTTATAAAGTCTTTTGTATGTTGTTCATTGAGCTTTACCAAGTCTGAGATCTCAGGAAAATTCAGGTCTTTTGTTTGTATATCTTCAAGGTTACCAACGGTAATATCTCCCTGTAGAAGGGATGCCACACAGCTCTGTATTACAGACACAGCTTGCACAAGTCTCTCAGCACAATCACAAGATAAAAGTTTCATCTTTTCTTGATCTCGAGCTAAGATATAGACAAAAGAAATACATGTAGGCAAAAATGATACATTTATCTACCTTTAAAAGAAATAAAATTACATTTTCTTCAATACAGCTCTGATGACAAAGGTAACAAAGACACAAAACTAACAATAAACATCAAAAGCTATGAAGTGTTTTACAAGCCGCGATATTACAAAGAGATATCTTCCCTAGAAATCTAACATATCTACTACCACATTTTAAAGCTAATACTGACTTTAGTATAATTAAAATATAAGTTGCTCACAATATATTTTCACAAACTGTGTGAATGGTGGCCATTTCAGAAAATGTTGAAGTATCTCTTGCTGAGTATCCCTACTATTATCCTTGACACTCTTATTCCATTCTTTCAGGAAGAGATCAGATATAAGATCTCCAAATCGGCGAATTTCTGCATCATTGAATCTACCATAATCTACTGCATAACCTTTTTCAATTGCCTAAAATTGAAATGTAAACAAACACGTATTATAAGCTAAAGATAAAGCATTGATACATGCGAGCACTACTTCAAATATCTGATAAATCAAACAAAAGCACCACATGCAGTTTAAATGGCAATGACCATCAATAACCAATTTTTATAAATATCTTAAGTTAAAAAGGGTCATTATTCCAACAATTTAGCTTCCAGAAAAGTTCCCTTTGTCTTACAACTGCTTCAAATCATGATAAGCAAGCATACTTAAATGTTGCTCAACCAGAGGTCCATTTAACATTTTCTAAAGACTTGTTATATGACTTTTATCTGACATATCAGATTTTACACTGGTTTATCACATGCCCGTGCTTTTGCGACTCCGTAAAAATGGTATTGCACAGCTGTGCATATATTATTTGTGTTATATAAAAATAGCGTCACAATGCGCTTAATGTGTTATATACTATAGATGCATCAATGGAATATGGTTCTCTTCACTTCAAACGTTCTTTATTTTAAGTATATGATAAATAGAATATTAAATTCATGTAAGTTCATTACTGAATTTATTGAACTCTTTGAATAAAATTATATTATGCTCGCCAGGGACTCGCATAAAATAATTTTATTCGACTTGTTCAATAAATTCAGTATTTAACTAACACGCATTAAATATCCTCTATATCTTGAACATTTTTTAAAATATTATAAGGAACATGATTTTAAGAAAAGAAATTTATATAAGGCAAGATGAGACTAATTGTTCACTAACCTTGAAAGCAGCTTTAGTCAAACAGTCTTGCATTGCAGGGTTGAATGTGTCAATTTTCTGACAATACAACTGGATAAAATTGGTCATACTATAACTTTCATGACACACCTGTAAATATATAAAATTCATCCAGGAATTACATAACATGTAATATAAAAGTTTGTGCTGATTTTTAATTTGTTGTTAAATATTAAGACTCATCCATACTAACAAGTCATACTGAATGGGCAAGGACACCAGAAGACATTTTTGTATACCGTATAGGTGTTTTTTTCTGCCGGCTCCAAATTTTCTAAATTTTGGCATATTTTTATTTCTGCTGACTTTATTTCTGCGGCACATCCTTTGGACAAAAACGTGCTTTAAATTCTGCAACTCGTCTTATCAAAGTCTTGGTCACTTTACCTATTTTATTTGCATGTACACATTCGCATTTGTTTATGGCAGTCACCGCAAAACTGTATTGTAATTACAAATAATTATACTTTTTGCATGCAAACAAATATAATGCGCAACAATAGAAAGGTATGCATTTTTTTATCAGCGTGAAATGACGTGTGAAAAATATACCCCGGTGGTATCTTAACTTTAATGAGATTGATAGAAGTTCACCGTAAATCAGATTACAGTTAAAGTATACGACGATTATTTAACAGTATAATGGTTTGAGTATCTTTTTTCTTAAATTAGCATAATTAATAGTAAGTACATCCTTACAAACACATTGTACATCTTTTAAACTTCAAATGACTAACAAAAGTAAGAATGATAAAATATGACATAGAGAATAAAAAAAAGGCTTTCCATTTAACATAAAAGTTTGCAAAGAAAAAATGTCATTATTTTAATTGACCTATGAATTTTGCTAAGAAAATAGCTGGACTTTTCAAGCAATTAGATTCAAAACACATCCCTAATATTGTCAATGGCAAACAAAGTTCTTCAAATTTCTAACCTATAATTTGTTTGGAAAACTTTTTTTTTCATAGTGAAAGTTGAACCATGTTGAACTCTTACCTTTGTTTGTAGTTTATCCCAAAGGGCTTTGGTAATTTGTTTGTTCCATTCCTCACATAATGATTGAGATTTGATGCTGTCTGGTGCATATGCCATACTCCAATACTGAATTTAAGATATGAATGGTTTAAATTTTATTTGACGAAAATTTACAGACTTTCATACAATACTTCAGAAGGTTCAGCATCCTACATGCTTGTATTCAAACCTTATTAACATGCAAAGTGTAATTCATGATGAAATTATTTGACGGTTTACTTCCGGCTTGATCTTACTATTTAAATGTCAATAAATTTAACTACTTTATTTGAAGTTGTTCAGTTTTAGCTACAAATCTATCAAAGAAAGTATAATCAGATTTAAATGTAAGGATTTGATCTATATAATCTAAATAGTTTACTTATCCATTGACCTTGAGAATGTCTTCCATGTATTGCATCCAGTTCCAATTCCAGTTTTCCATCCATTTAAAGACTTCAGGGACACATGGTTGCATTATCCCTAAAGCATATTTTTTCTGGCTTATTGTTTTCTTATCTTCTCTTTCTTCATAGGATGACAAACAGTGCAACATAATCCCAATAGAACTTGAAAATGGATTAACACGATTTGTTTTTGTGCACTCCAGGAAAACTTGTGATGAAAAGAATGTCTGCATCTTCTCTTGATGAATATTTAATTTGTCACTGAAAAACAGCAAAACAGAACTGGGGGCATATTTCTGCCAAAGTGTTTGGCAGGACTTACCTGCCGGTATAAGTGAATAAAAATTTTAAGACCATGTTAAATAAGAAACCCTCAGGTTGGGGCTAATTTGAACTCAGAGGCATGACTTAATTTGGTACAGGACTACCAAAATAATTCATTCCTGTGAAATTTGATTAAATAATTCACTTTTTGGGCCAGATGTTGTTTAAAGAAAATGTGGAAAATGATGAACAATATCATATAAGCTAATTTCTTTGCACTTTACTATATCATAAAGAAAAGGAAGTAAACAAACTTTATACCTTTGCTTTGGTGACTTTTCAAGGTGCTCTAAAAGAGTCTTCATACTTTTCTCTACAAGCTGAAATATGAAAAAAAAATCTTTTATCAATCTTGTCTCCTGATCCCCCTTATGGATTATTGATTTTTGAAAAATCAAATCAACAAAGTCTAAATTCATCAATGTTAACAATAACAAGCAAATTTGTTTATATCCCCTGGTGATTACTGGTAATTACTTACACAACAACTGGAGACAAAATACTTTATATATATATATTTATCATGGCATAAACAGTAATATTCTTTAGTCATAATAAAAAATTAAGGCAAAAACAAAGGCCATAACTCTGTGTTAAATAGTATTATCTGGACATGCCAATGAGATGCAAATTGCCTTTCCCATAAAGTTTTGTTGAAATAAATCCAGCAGTTGCAAAGAAATAGCAATATTGCTCTATATACTACATAACTAATCAAGGGCCATAAGTCTGTGTTAAAGGGTCTGATTGGAACAAGGTGATGATATGTGCACCTCGTCTTGTATTGATAGTTCCCATAAAGTTTTGTTGAATTCCTGCAGAGAAATAGCACAAAAACTATTATTGCTCTAAATGCATACTGCATAACTAATCAAGGGCAATAACTCTGTGATTAAGGGTCTTACAGGACCAAGGCAACAATATGCGCATCTCCTATTGGTAATTATGGTTCCCATAAAGTTATTGAATAGTTCAAAAGTACTTATTCTAAACTAGTTCTTCTACACATGCAAAAAAAAAGCAGCTTACTCTTTCATCAGAAGTGATGTCTCCAAAGCTGTATGTTCTGTAGATGTAATCATGTATTTTCCAACTTGGCCTTGTGTCTTTTATGTGAAAGAACAAGTTTGCTAGGATAATTTCTGTCGGTATTTTGCCTAAAGCTATTACTGAATCAAGTTCTCTCAGTCTAACTGCAGTGACAAATGATCGTGGTAACAAATAGTCCATTTCAAACATTGGTTCCAAGACATCCAGGGTCTTTTCTATTGGTCTGAAATGATACATAACAAGAGCTGTTAGTAGGTTAGTATGCTCTACTATTATTGGTGTTTGTTAGTAAAACATGGGCCCGGATAATTAGAATTTTCTATGATCAAAGGTCATAATTATGTCAAATTCTATATAATAGTTATATTTGCCTTAAAAAGTGAAATCCTATTATCCTCTCTAGTGAGAGTATAAACATTCAACTCATTCCCTCAGACTTTTTGGAGATACCAACTTGCAAAAACTTTAAGTGTGATGCTGACACCAATCCCAACTGACTGGGTGAGCATAGTTGCTCTCTATTGAATAGTCAAGCTAAAAATAGAGGTAAAGATTATACTGATTGTATTGCATTTCTGCAAGTTGATTAGACATGTAAAATGAAATCTAGATTTAAGGACACTTGCCCCTTTGGATTCATAAAATTCAATAATCAGCAACCTACATGTAAATCATGATCAGTACTTCCATGATTTTTATTTGTTTGTGTTGTCAGACCAAACAAATAATGGTAGTGAAATTTCAGATCCTGATATGCTTATTTGTAAAATCCGAAAGTAGTCCATCACAAATTCCTCAAAGAGGTTACTTCCCTTTATAAGTATACTAACGACGAAAAATTAAGGGGAGATCACTGCGTAGATTGTCAAATGAAAGGTGCATTAATATTTAAACCCCAGAGGGTAGAAAAAAAAGTTTCTGATTGATCGAAGATTTCTAATATTGTGTAATTCTTTAACATTTCCGCAAATTACCGGTAATATGTTCAAATAATTTTGTTATGCGGATGAATATAATTTTAATCAATGAAAATTGCTTGGCTATTTCTGTAAAGCTTCAGATTATTGTGATCGCCTAAATGAACATTTGTTATTTAGATTTTCTGAAAAATAAAGAAAGGATGTTGACTCTAGGACAGGGACATGATTATTTACATCAGTGTCAAACAACAGGTTTACTGTGAACAAAATATCTCAAAATTAATAATGATTTCAAACCTTAATTTAGAATAATATAGTTTGCTTCAGACTGCCCTTACCAAAATGACTTTAAGTGACTTATATGTTTCTTATATGCAACTTATACTTGACCTATAAGAGAACTATAAGTTACATATAAGTCACTTATAAATCACCTAAAAACCTGTCTAAGTCAGTTATAGGTATATGCTACATATAAGTCACTTTTGGCCATTTTTCTCCAACATGTAAGTCACATATATGTCTTATACTGGTGAAGTTTGAAGTAACCAGTTTCTATGTTAGATATAAGTGAAAACTTAGAACTTTTGCAAGACCTTTCATTACTGAGCAAAGCTGAAAAAATTACTAAGTACAAAAACATGAGAAAAATTGATAAAATTTATTGAAGTTGATTTGTAAGTCTTTGCTTTAACACAATGGGTATCAAAATACTCAGAATTTAAAATACTAAAATCTTAGACCTTAATCACAAACAATTAAGATTTTTTTTTAAATGTTGCTTATTAATTTTTGAACACAGATGGGTTTTTTTAAATAAGATACAGGAAAAATGATTATCAATTAAGTATATTACCTGTAAAAAATTTTGGCACAGATTCTGTGCGGAATTGGGACAGAAATGGCATTCAATCAGTGATTTCTAGGCTACCATGGACAGAAATGAAATTCCATGTCATTTCTTCTCACAAGGAAAAAATATTTCACATAAAAGTCACCCAAGGCATAATTCTACTCTTGTTTTTTTTTCTAACTTGAAACAGACATTGAAATCTATATGTTTTTACCTACTGTACTTCTTACAGACCTAATATTGCTGAAGTAAGATATTCTAACAAGAAAAAGAGGTGTATTTTTTTAATATACAAGTGTTATTTTTAAGACATTTAGGCCTAGTGTATTTTAGATATTTAAACAATAAAAAAAACAGTGCTTGAAATAAACTCATTTATATTGCCCTTTTAATCTATATAAAATCAAGGAACCAATATGCCTGATGATTGCATATATTTTCTACATCCACTGATTTTTTACACCACATAGATCAGAGGTATGATAAAACTGGCCACCTGCCTTTGCCACCATCTGTGCTTGACTAATTTTCTGACAACTCAGACTGTTCCATGTGATTATTTTGGGGAAAGATAACATTTCCTATCCTGAATTTGTAAAAAAGAGCATTGCATTTTCTTTTTCAAAAATGTATAATGATTTTTAAAATTTACATATCTATTAGTTATTTGATTTTTTTCACATTCAATGATTGTAAGATAGAAATGATGAGTGCTTTGATTTTTGGATTTACCCTGTTTTACATAATATTGGACCTGCCCAGGTACACAGTTGTAAGTCTAAAACATTTAGGTTAGCAAGCTGGTGGAAATCACAGAGAATCTACTTGATGTTTTAGGAATTTTAGAGATATTGTTTTGTTTAAGATGTTTAAGTATAGTAATGGTAAATAAGAATGACAAGAAGAATCACCTTGGACAAGAAGATTATGCAGATACAGGTTTAATAATATATTAAACAATCAAAGTAAGATGGCAGCAAACTAAAATTTGTAACTTGAGAGATGAAGGCTGTTTTTATTTCTAAGCTTCATACATTAGATTTACTAATACTCGTAATTGAGTTAAATCTAGATATAATAGTCAAATTATTTGAATTATTAGGACTAAATAGTACAATCAAAAGTTTTATGAGCTGAATAAGAAGAGGTCATCATAATCATTTATCATTTTATTGTTGTTTTCAATGGAGAAATCTGATATTACATTTTACATACATTGCAGGCTAGACACTGGGACCAGTTCTTACTTTGAGATGCCAGGTGAATAATGATATGCAGTATGGAGCCTGAAAAGGTATATTTTTTAATCTCTATACTTACTGCTCTAAATATTTCCCAGAAAAAAGCATAATAAATTTTGTTTCAAATAGTGCAGTTAATCAATTCTTATAAGAGACTTTTAGCAATTCTTAAACAACACTGGTGACTTGTGAACTGAAATGAGATACTGTGTAACTTAGTATATTTGTATATGCATAAGCATAAATAGCTAATATAGTTTGATGATATAAAAAATATGAAATATAACTGCATATACAATAGTACACAATTTATTCCACATCTTTTTTAATTAATTATGAATTTTATCTTTAAAGGTGAACACAGCCACATGAAGTTCTCCGAGGAAACAGAATCAGAGGACTGAAACAGACATCAATAAAAGAAATAGTAGTTTAAATAATCAGAAACATTTGAACAAATTTTTGAGTTCCTCACCGACAGACTTCCAGCAAAATAATTGTATAAATAAAGTGTTTGATTCCAAGAAAACCAGTACCTACAAAAACTTGCTGCTAGAAATAAATATTGTTTTTGTTATAGTGAATGTAAGATGATTGAACTGAAGGATATGTATGCTGAATTTTGTATTTTGCTCATTTATATGACTAAAAATATAAATTAATAAACATTTTTGAAATTAAATTACTAAACTTTTATTTTCATTCTAGCTTTTTTGACATCAAGCAACATATATGTGACTTACATGTGACTTATATGTTACTTATAAGTGACTTATATTAAGTCACTTATATGTAACATATAAGTCACTTATAAGTAACATATAAGTCACTTATATGTTACTTATAAGTTGAGCAAATCTTTGACTTACATGTCACATATTTGTGACTTATATATAACTTATACTTCACTTATATGTCAAAATGCCAGACATATACTGCACTTACATCTAATTTGCATTTAAAATACATATACTTGACTTATAGGTAAATTGACTAAGTGAAGTATAATCTACATATAAAATAGCCTATAAGTGACTTATAAGTGAATTCCGTAAGGGTGATTTCTTATAACTTCCCCGTTGTCCATGGTTACACGCTTGCTTCAGAAGTGAGAGATCTGGGGTTTCAATCCCAGATAAGGCAACCTTAGACAAAATTATCATTGAATTGAATATCACTGTTGCAATTAGCCTTATAACTCTAGAAAAAGCATTGCAGACACTATACAAAAACAAATTGGTTCATAATCTCACAAACTTCACCTTTCTGACATTCTGAAGCCCAAACAAATTCAGCGCCTTCTGTGCTTTGATTTCAAAAGTTAGAGGTCATGTTATCATCTAAACATGAATTAATTGAATCATCGTAAACCAATAGTATGACAATTATTTCCTATTGCACAATTAATGGTAAGGAAAAATCATGTGATTCACACATTCCTTGTTAAATTAAATAAATACAAGAATCTCTCCATACTCATCTTACCTTACAGACTGCAATTCCTTGAAGAAAGTGCAAAGCAAACAACCAATGGGATTTATTTGTTTGTTTAAGTGTAGGGGATTATGTAGTCACATTGTCACTGTAAAGGTTGTGTGGCAAGGTTATGGGATTGAGGAAACAACAGCTGCTTAAGCTCCTCAAAGGTTTATTTCAGCCACAGAAAAGCACCCAAGTAGAACCATCTTGGTTAAGCTTGCTGGATATGGAATTGGTAAAAGACTGACAGACCGACTGACTACCAGGGGCATAACAATATTTTATCCAAAGTTGTTGTTTTTTGTCTATAAAAAGGTTATGAGCAAAAGAAAATATAGGCATTTCTGGAGCATGACATGCCTTTTAGTACTTTTTAAAATTGATGTTGCACGCAACATTTCACCAAAAGAGTTCCCAAAGGGCTATATATAAGTTAAAATCCTTACTAGAGTTACAGACCTTGTTGTTGAGATATGATGTTATACAAGAAGGTACATGCCAAATTTTAACCAAAATATTCATACATGCACAGGTGAGGAGGATAGCCCCCTTTTTATTAAAATAATCTAAAAAATTCAATAAAAAGACTTACATTTCCCAATGATCTGTCTTCCCTCTAAAATACTTGACACAATGCTCCCCTAGCTGTGATATGCCCCACCAGGTAGGATCTTTCTTGTCGTGATTTACATCAAAAGCTGGTTTATCAAATGGACTACACAGTTCATACAGAAAATGAATCCATGGCATCAGAAACAGCCAAGATGGATTCTTAGAATTGGATGAGATGTACTTGCCAAGAGACAAGAATGCTTCCTTCAACTGTAGCCTAAAATAGAATTTTGTTTTTGTTTTTATGTTCAAACACCATCAGAGGCAAGAAATTGTTTCACGGAGAAATAAAACTTTCACTCAATGCACAAAACTGGGAGTGTTTATTAGCTTAAAAAATATGAAGGTCAATCCCAGTAGTACTAGGCTTTTTACTAAGCTTATTGGAGAATTGTGACCAAATTTGTTCTTTTTGGTTTATATTTGTCATTTATTTTGATATTTGACAGCATTAATGGGTAGTCACATTGTCAAACAATTTTAAAATATCTTTCTTCCTGGTTGAAGCAAAATATACTTCTTACTTATATTCTTGAGAAAGGTCAATATGAGAGAACAGCAATATAGTGAAAATGTAGTATTTAGAAGGGTCTTATAATAATAACACAGTTCAACATTGTTGAGGATACTAGCCAAACTCCTCACAGTGATTACCTCCCTTGGCAGAATTGTTATCACTGCCTTCACAGACGTCACATGATGATGAAAGTCACATGACGTAAATATCGACCATTAGATAGAAAATGTAAATATCGACCATTAGATAGAAAATCTAACAAAATTTTTTCTTTCTGATTTATTTTTAACGTTTCGTAGCTACGTACGTTATATCTTATAAAAAAAAATTCAAAAGTACACAAAATAATGAAAAATAAATTAAAAAGTTAAAAAATATAAAATATCAAAATATTGATATTTAAATGTTTGTAATGGCAGAGATCTCTGTACTGATAAGGGGAGATCACTGCATAGGAGATTGGGTTTATGAAAAGCTTTCATGGCTCATAAAGAGGTCAACCACAATAAACGACCACTCTTACGGGAGAACACTTTAGAAAGTAAAATTTAATTTTCACAAAAACATTATTCAAGTTTTTTATCTTTCTAAATCATACTGTAAGAATAATTTAAATAAATTCGCATTCAAACAAAATTAAATATGAAATAATCAAAGTATTTCTTATATTTTTTATGCAACCTGACATTAAAAGCCAGATGATCAATCTAGTATAATAAAATGTCTTCATGAATCATAGAACCTGGTGAATTAAAATATCAATGATAATCCTTGCAGTAATTATTATGGCAAAATATTGATCAACAAAATTAATGTTACTTTATATTTTAAATTACAACGAAAGGAGCTTGACTTACACATCTTTACAATAAACATTCTTTTTTACCTATTCTCAGGAAAATATTTTTCCAAAATGTCCAATTCAAGGCAAGTTTTCTTGTCTGGATCAGGTCTCATAATAAGATGTTCACAGACTTTTTGCCAGCTCTTCAGATTAACAAATGGCAAATCCAACGTTTTGGCAGCAAATATAGCAGCGATGGCTAGAGCAACCTGTCTTTCCCTTGTATTTGCAGAAATATCAGTTGTGTTTTGTAAACTTCCTGCAGTTTCCAGTATAACATCGAGAATGGATCCACCTATCTGCAATTGAGATGGCAAATCTTTTATACCAAGCAGGCAGAAACCATCATTATACATCAACATATCAAGTTTCAATGTTACAATTTAAGTTACTGACCATGCACAAAAAGTTTAATAAAAAAAAAAAATTGAAATTGCACATACAACTCATGAAGTTGCATCTACACAAAAAGTTCCTAGGTCAATGGACTTTGATTAAAAGAGTCATTGCCAAGTGGGAGCTGTATACTCTGCATTAATTTATTCATTCCAAAGGCAAATGCAGGAAGAACATTGAAATGAATGTTTTCAGATAAATCCATTTAATGTAAATAGAAGTTTAACTAGCAAATGATTGTTTTATTTTGTTTTTTGACCTTTGAAACAATAGTGTGACCTTGACCTTTTCCTCAGACACCTGAACTTTTCACTCTGGAGAATATTTACCCAAAGTTATATAAAATCCATCCACGCTTGTAGACATTACACTCTGGACACAGGTTTTGCGCTGACCCCCAAGTGTGACCTTGACCTTTAAGCAGCAGACCTGGGTTTTTTGTGTGCAACACACCAGCCCATCCTTTAAAGAGTGAGCAAGATATAGACCGGACAAATCTGGATGGACACACAAACAGACAAGCAACCAAATGGAGATAAAGGGTCATTTCTATTGTAATTTTCTTTTGTTTAAAAGACACCCATTGACCCCTTCCTCTATTGTTAAGGAATGAACTCTATCGTTCTCTTTTATTTTGTATACAGTTAGATAGCCTCCTATCCCTATTCTGTAGTGCAGACAGATGCACACACAGATGCACATAAACCAAACTATCACAAAAAGTGACAAGCTCACCACCATGCGGGCTTGACAAAAATGCATGCCACAGTAAATATCCCATTATATGGTTAATATCTTAAGGATGCAACCATTTATTAACTTTGTCACAAAGTATTGGGCATTTTACCCTTGTATTTTCCTATATAAGCCTATGTAAACTAAGACCACTAGGGCTTGGCCTTTTTTGATGCCAGGTGCATGATTTATAAAGCCTTTGTAGAGGACCACAAGGTGAGGCCACATGCCTAATATCTAAGTTATTTGTAGTGATGGAAATCGGATGAAATTTGTCCCAATCGATAATCGGTTCAGTCGGATGGGACATAATCGATAACTTTCGAATAAAGTCGCGTTAAAAAATAATAGGGAAGTAACATTTCTTACCAAGGCACTTGATTATATTTAATAACATGAACTTCATTTAGCACTTTTCAACACAGTTTTAACCTTATATAGTCATAATTTTACGAAATAGATTTTATTTTTCAATGGATATCAAATAATACCATTTTCATCACATTATATTTCTTTTGTTTTACATCACTTATTGATCCTGTTCAACTCCATATTGTCTCTGAGTGATTTTTTGCGATCCGCGAGGTGTTCCTAAAGGAAAATTACCCTCAGAATTAAATTCCCTTTGATAATTAAAACATTTTTGACGACGTCGCGGAACAAACTTTTGTGAATCGATTATTGTCGTTTTACATAACAGTAAGTGATAATCGGCGACTTGCAACAATCGGAACATCACTAGTTATATGTATTATAATAGTGAGATTTCATATTTAAAGTCTATTTTTAACTCCTGTGACCTACTATGCATCAGACTGGAAACATTTTTATAACTTTTGTACAGGACCACCTGAAGATCATTTCGGTTAGAGATTGGTCAAGATACATCAAGTGGTCTAGGAGGAGGTGTTGTTTAAAGTAATTAAGGATAACAACAGACAATGGACGACCACAAAAGCTGAACTCTGAGCACATAGTCCTCATCTGAGCTACAAATGCTTGCCATATATACAAATGAAATTTTGCTTACATCTTCCTTAAATTTATTGTCCTTGTAGTCCCAACATCTACCATCGTGATAATAGGCTTTTTTAAAGCCTAAAAATAACATTTCCAGTTGTTCCAGGGATACAGAGTAACTGGAATCTTCTGATTGCAGAATATTTGAGCTAAAATAATCAACACCTTTTTTTGCATGTTTTATCAACTCAGTCCTCCAGGAGGAAAAGAAACTTGAAACTCTATCCCATGTTGATGGTTCTTTTTCCACAACTCCATCATACTGATGCCAGACATCTGTTTGTATACAAATTAAAATTATTTGTGTATTTATTGCAACTAAAATTCCCATTATACCAAATTTAAATCATGAATTATCATGATTTCTATGTCTAACACCTTGTAAAACATTAAATTAATTCAATATTCATTTTCAAAGTTATAAAATTTTATTATGAGATAAAATAAAAACTGAATAAGAATATTCAAAGGAAAAAATGAAAACATTCAAACTTTAAAATAATTCAACATTTTTTAACATATTTGCTATTACCTATCTTATTCCATTTTTCAATCAAAGTGAGAGTTCTATTAGCGCCCATTCCAGTGTTACTCTCTTTCAAATAATGCTCCCATGTGTATTGGTCCTTCCCAGTTTTTTCAAGCTTTCCTATGCAATATTTGTATGAAATTCTCTTTCCAAATACTATCTTCTCAGTTGCAATTTTCATGTCAAATTCAAACTCGAACATGTGATCTGTAATTTTCCTACATTGAAGTAAAAACAAAACAATAAATTCTTAAATTCTATTCAATAAATCTGTGAGTATAAATAATATTTTTAACAATTAAAGACATATATTGCCTATCTTAGTCCATGATAAAAACAATGCATCAACTATAATCATCCATAGAAGAAATACAAAGAATGTGTGGTTTAAAGCCACATGTCTCAAATTAATGTTAATCATGTATTCTTCTATAAAACAATACGGCCATGATGGCCTTTATATAACTCATCTTATTATCACGGCTTTAATTAATAGGTCAATTTGAGTTTCTAAAGAATGCTGTGTCTTGATATGAAGTCAATCTAATCATTAATAACAAGGTAATACGCAGTTAAAGCAAATAAAAAGAGAAAGTTTCAACACTTTGACTTTAAAGGTCAAAGTCATTTATGAGTGAAGGTCAAGGTCTAAATACCTTTAAGGTATATCCTTCAAGATTGTTGTGTCCAAGTTTGATGACAATCCATTCAAAAATAAAAGTAATAGGTCAAAGTCATTTATAAATGAAGGTCAACATACATGTGAACTTTTTTCGATGTTCAAGTGGGAGATTTTCCTTCAAAAACAGGATGATTTTAGAATTTGCAATAAACAAATAAGGAAGTTCTGACATCAAAAATAGGGAGATTTCTTTAATTTGTGAAAATTCCCTGTATTTTAAGAAAAATCTTTGAAAATATCGCTGCAGAAAGTGGGAGTCTCCCGCTAAAAGTGGGACAGTTCACATGTATGGGTCAACTTAAGTCTAATCTACTATTGGTCTAGTCCCAAGGGTTGTTATGGCCAAGTATAATGAAGACAAGAGACCAACAACTTAATAAGTAATGATCAAGGTTCAAGTTTGCTGCTGACAATGGCAGTAGTACACCCTCAATGACTGTAGCAATTATAGGTATGTTGTTGTTGGTTTTTTGCTGTTTTTTTTTTTTCGAAAAAATGTCAAGCTAATAACAAGAGTTGTCACACAAAAGTGACAAATGCCATTGAAAAGGTTTTGTAAGTATTGTAGAAAGGATTATTATGAAAAGAAAAGAGAATAAAAGAAACAGATTCTTTAATACTGGTCTTGTGAAATGAAGTGCTATTCATAGCAAACATACATGTACCACCTTGAGGTTTTGGATGTGACACATCATTTTTATGTGATAGACATGTATGCAAAGTTATTTCAAAACCTTTTTAATGCATGACAATGTTACAGTCTGGCATGAAAATGTACCTTCAAACTATTTTTTTGAGAATGTGAACCTTCAGTCTTTTATTATACTTTTAATGTCTGGCCACAAT